TCCATTAGATTAATTATTAATAAATTAATTTTATATTTATTAAAGTCCTCCTATTTTTTCTGAACTACAATTACGACCTATCTTTTTTTATCTAGTTAAAAACTAACTTTATATAATAAGATTTCAAGAAGTCTGGTATAGACTAGAAAAACTATTACTTATATTATTAAAGAAATAAGTAATTAAACTAAACTATTATTAGTATATATTTAATAAAAAATAAATGAATAAATAAATAAATAAATAAATAAATAAATAAATAAATAAATAAATAAATAAATAAGTTATAATCTTTAATATTTAGATATTAGGTTCGAAATATAATTACATTAAATTTAAAAAATATTAATACTAATTAACAAAATATGAAACTAAACTAGAATAATATTAAATATTAGATTATAAAAATATTGGAAACTTATTTTATATAGCTAGAAATATATATTAGAATTTATAATATATTTTATATTAATTTATTCAGACTAGTAGTAATAGACAAATTTTTAATTTTGTGATAGGATCTACTTGTTAGGGTAGAAGGCCTGTCAACTAGGTAAGAAACTGGCTACTAAACGTGTAGGATTCTATTTGTAGTGATAAAGATAGTCTATATCTATAAGATAGACTAATCTTTGTAGGATCAGTAGCCTAATATTGAGAAATATTATTTTATAGTAAGTAAGAAGGTTTAAAATTATTATTAATAATTTTATAATTTTTATTATTATTCTAGTATATTATCCTAAGGACCTGGATTACATTAGTTAGACTACTATAGAACTAGAATATTAGTTAAACTGTTACCGATAAGATAAGGTCTTTATTTAAACTATTTTATTATAATTATTTTTTTTTCTGTTGAGCCGAGCCTCCTAGCTCAGAAAGCTGTATATAAATAATAATTTTATAATAAAGATATAGTAAATAATAAGGAATATATCTTAGAATAGTAATTAACATATTCTTATAAGGTAAGAGAAGTATAAGATACTATAATATATTTATATTTATTATTATTATTATTATAGTTAGGGTTAGTAAATAGCTTTATCTTTAATATAATAGTAGTTTATTATAATATTAATATTAATATTATTATTTTCTTTTCTTCCCCTCCACGCTTTTTTTATTTTTTATGATAGTTTCTTTTATTTATTATTATAGTTCTTTTAACTATTAGCATTTATATCGTATTTCTATATTTTTTTATTATTATTTAACTAAAAAATTTATTACGATGCCTCATGCCTGTTAAACTATAAAGTATTATACTATGTATAATACAGCTATTAAATCTATATATATTTTTTATATATATTACTTTTAGTTTAATTTGAAAAAATATAATATTATTGCTAGTATTCTGTTCGCTATCTAGTATGTTTTTAATAGTATGATCTTAATTCTTTACTAATATTACTATAAAAACAATAAGAAGTATAATTTTATAAGTATTCTATATATTAAAGATTGAAGATTTAGATAATAAGCTATATATATATTTATATATTAATGGTTTCGACCTTATTAAAGTTTTTAAAAATATAGAGATTATTTATACTATAGATCTTTATTTCAAGGCTTTAAAAAAATATAAATTAATAAACGGCTATTTTCTAGAATAATTTATTAATTAAATATTAGATAGATATCTATAGATACTAGTAATATCTAGCTATCTAGTATAATATTATAATATACTAATTTTTCTATTCTAGTATTAATATAACGCGCTTAAAACTCCACCTGTATAATAAGTAAATATTTTTATATTTATTATTAGAAAATATAGGTTTTACTATATAGATTATAGTAATAATTATCTTATTCTAAAAAATTATAGATATAATTCATGAATATTTTTCTAATACTTTAATAGCCTCTGATAGTGATTTAAAAGATAATTTAAAGAATAAAAAGAAAATAATAATAGATTTTAAGGTTTAGATTATTTACAATAATTTCTTTATATATATCTTTATTATTTAATAGGGTATTTGGATGCTTAGTCTTTATTTAATATTTATAAATATAATTTTAAATATTTAGATATAGATTATCAGGATATAATCTACTATGTATGATAAATTTTATATTTTTTATATAATTTAAGCTAGGTCCCTTGTAATTAGTTATAATATTAATAAAAAAATAATAAAATAATTTTATAAATTTAGTATTTAAATTGATGAGTTAAATATATAATATCTTTAAAACTTTATTTTTTTAATAATATTTTATTATTTATTTTAGCTCTTTCTACTTTATCTAATAGTCGTAGATAGCTTAGAATATATTATCTATATTTTTTAGAAATTTATTAATTATATTCGCTAGGCTATTTATTTTATTTAATTAAATAATTATCCTAATTATTATATTATTAGTAGTTTTTAATTTATTTAATTTTTTATTCTTTTTTATTATCTAGTTCTAATATTAGTAGTATTTTTTTATAATCTATATTAACATTCCACGGTTCTAACAGTAAGATATAAAATATATTATAGATTTATCTATATTTCTTAGATAAATATAAGTAATATACTTATAATCTAATCTATTTTAAAATCTAAGAAAATCCTATAAATTTTAAATCTAGCTTTCTTGATCCCTTAAACTGTAGGTTCTAAGTTAATAACTTAATTAAATTTCTTTCTTTAAAGTAGAATAGTTTTCTGTACTTATTATAATATTTCTTTTATTTTTTTATAATTATTTACTATATTTTTTAGAATTATTTTCTTATTTATTTAAGTTTTTTAATTCTATTCTATATAACTGGGATCTTTTATTATTAAGTATTATTCTTGATTTTAATATAGAAGTTTAAAAAATAACTATATAAAATTTTATTAGATAGTTATTTAGTGGTTATATTATCTATATTATTATAAGTAAATTAGGCGGTTAGTAATATTATAACTTAATTTATAAAAAATATAATAAAATAATATTTTAAATAATGTTTTAAGGTTGAGTTTATTCTCTTTATTTAAATATTAGTTTGTGGATGAAATGTTGTAAAAAGTTTTAAAATTATATAATTATTATAAAATAAATTTAATTGAAATTTACTAGTAAATATTGAATTTTAATTAGATATAATCTTATTAGAGAATTTAAAGATTAGTTTAACTTATTAATAGAATAATTCAGCTAAGTTTAGAGCTATTATTATTAATAGAATAGTAAAGAAAAAATAATATTTTAAAAATAAATTAATAATAACAAAGATAGAATCAACAGTTTATTTATATTAAATAATTAAAAATAATTCTATAATAAAATCTATTCTTAATCTTATAAAAGAATGAGAGGGAATTAATAAAAATTTAAAATTATTATATAATTAATATTTTAAAATTATATTATCTTGATATATTAAATAAATTTAAATATATTTAATTATATTTTTATATAGTCTACACTAATAGAATTTTCTATGTAATAATACTTTTATTTAAATCTTTTTAAATTATTTTATTAATAAATTATTATGATAAAGACAGATAAGCGTTTAATATAATATTTTAAAAAATAGAATATAAAAATAGTTTTTAAAATAAATATAACTAGTGGCCTTAATAGTCTAGTATTTTTAATCTAGTTATTTTTATTAAATAGTAGTTTTTTACTATTAAATTTTTAAATCTTTATTCTATAAATATAAGATCATTTCTTAAAGCTTAAAATTATATATATTTAAATATAAAACTTCTGTGGTATATACATATACTATTATAAATTAAAAAATAAATTCTTTTTAAAATAAATTCTTCTAAGTAGTCTAGTCAACTATTTTTATACTAGCTTGACTACTAGGATCCTTTAAGTTTAATACTATACAGGTATTAAATCCAGAGTAATCTTATATATTTTAAGATTTAAATTAAGATTTCATATTTATTAAATCCTTAATTATTAGAGATAATATATTCATGAAATATTTATAAATCAAAATTAAAAATTCTTAAAGAGTAAGTTCTATCTAGAATTTAATAAATACTCTAGAAGATCTATCCACTGGATTTAATTTTTTTATTTTATATTTAATAATAAAATTAAAAGAAATTAGATTTATTAACTACTAGATTTATATTTTATTAACTCTAGTCTAGCGCATAAAAGATTATAAATTTAAATGATCAGATAAGACTTTAATTATTTAGAGAGTTTTCTTAAGATATTATTACTATTATTTAAAAAGTAAATAATAGTGAATAATTTTTAATCTAGAGTATTATAATTTAGTTTAATATTAAAGAACTTATAAGATTAAAAAATTATTAAATAAGATATATCCTTGCTATTAGATTGGGATAGAATCTTATTTATATTTTTTTTAAATATATTAGTTTCTAAATACTGGGATTTTATAGGATTAAAATATATTAATAAGAGTACTTACTAAAAAATAATAATTAAGTAATAAAAAACTATTTATTTATATAAATTTAATTAAATTTTTTTGGGTTTTCATCTGTTAACTGCTCTATAAAGTAAAGAAATAAAAAATAATATAATATTAATATAATTTTAAATAAATTATTAATAAAAGTAATAAAATCTTAAAAAGATTTGAATATTATAATAACTTTTAAATAATAACTATAAAATAATATTATTTATTTAGTAAAGATCCATGGATATACTATTAATATTAATAATATATTTTAGAAATTTAACTTAGAATTAGTAAAAAGAGTATTTTAATAATTTTATATAAAGTTTAGTCTTTCGGAGTCTTTTTAATATTTAATAAATATATTTTATATAAGATTTTTTATTAGTAAAAAAATAAGAATATTATTTAAATATATTATATAAAAGTCATCGAGAAGTCTATAAAATATAATATATATATAATTTTAAAAAGATACTAGAGTATTAGTCAATCTAAATAATATAACTATATATTTAAAATAATTATATTAAATATGAAATACTATTTTCCATTTATCCTCTTTTTAAATATAAATTTAATAGTAAATATTCTTAATATTAATTTTTAAAAAATATTTACTACCTGAAACCTTGTTAAGGATTTTTAAAATAAAAAATAAAAAATAATAATTCTTAATAAAAACTTTATTTAAATCTCTATAGTTTATATAAAAATATAAACTATTATTTTTTTTAATATAAAGAAGATGGGAGCCCTGGTAAGATTTTTAAAAAACTATATTTAATTTAATATTAAATTTTTTTTAATATATTTTTATAAAATTTTAAGTTTGGCCTTTAAGAGAAAATATATAAAATTATATAAAAATATTTTATTAGATTTTAGATTAATAATATAATCTATAAGGCTATGAGGAGGTAACTATTAAAAGAAATTTATAAAAAAAATATTATAAAATTAATAAAATTTAATTAATAATAATTCTACATTTAATAATAGATTATAAGATGCTTTCTTAGATAATTAGATATTTTCAAAGAAATTTAATAATAGTGTATATTTTTATTAAATTTTAAATTACTTTAATAAATTTAGTAGTAGGGAGAAAAAAAATTAATAATATATTAAATTATTATAAATAATTCTATACTGATAAAGTGACATATAAATCTTAAGATATAATTATTAATAATAAAATAGGGCTGCTATCTAGCTAAAAATCTTTATTAATTTTTATATAAAATTATTTAAAAGTTTAAATATTTTCTCGTAAATTAGTAGTAGTAATAAGTATTCTCTATATACTATAAATAAAAATATTAAGTTAATTAATTACTTTAATTCTAGATATAATAATTAAAATATATTAAAATTTATAAATCTTAATAAACTAATAATTAATAATATTTATTTTAATATAATTATTTAGATTTATAAAGATTTCAAGATTATTTCAGATATAAATAGAAATATAAAAATAATAAATAATCTCTACTATAAGTAAGAAAGTTAAAATTATAAGATTTATTTTAATTTCTTTACTTTTTTTTAGTTTTAATAAGAACTAGTAGGCTTTGGTAAATTATATTTTTTTATTTTTAATAAAGTAATAAATTACAAGATATTAAGTATTATTATATATAAAATATTATAATTATTTACTATTCTTTCTAATAGGATTTTTTTTATGATTCGTGATATTATCTATAATAGGTTTATTATTATAATAACTTGAAATCCATTTGTGTGGTTTATAATTATTAGATTAATTATTATTTTATTTATATTTTTTTTTATTACTCTATAACTTATAATAATAGATAATAATAAATATTATTTTTTTTATTCTTCAAGTACATATAGGACGTATTTTTAAATATAAGAATTTAAATCTAATAATAATTTAATAAAATATAATAAAATTTTTTTTTTAGTTTAACAGGAAAAATATTACTCTAGAATATTAAAATAAATATAAAACTTTTTTAGATCTTAATTATATCGCTGGTAGGTTTATTCAAATTAAACTATAATATTTAATTAAAAAATAATAGTATTTTAAATTAAAGTAAAGATTTAGTCTTTAAATTAAGATTATAATTTTTTAAGTAATCGTCTCTCTTCTAGACTCTTATTATTAGTAAAATAATATTATTTTTACTTATATATTAGGTCCATGTAGCTAATAATAATAAAAATCTTATATTCTTTAGGAAAATACTTTTTAGAAGTTTTTTAAAATATATATTTTAGATTAATAATCCATTCCTAATATTTCTAGAGATTAAAATTTAATATAAATTAAAAATATCTTTAAATTTAATTTCTCTTTTTTTCTTATCAGATTCGGAAGAGGATTGATAATACTTAAAAAAGATCTTATTAAAAAAAAAACTTTCTAGAGATAGACTATTTTTTATTATAAATTATTAGCTTACTTTAACTGATGAACATAATCTTCTAATTATTAAATTTTTTTAATAGTAGAAATAGTATTCAATAATAGTTCTAAATTAGTTTAGTTATTAACTAATTCTATTTTTTTACAATTCTTAAGAGGTGGTATCTTTCTTAAATAATTAAAAAAGAAGCATTAAAATATGATAGGATCTACTTATCAGGATAAAAGATCTATTAATTAAATAAAGAACTAGCTACCAAACATATAAAGTTTTATTTATAGTAATAAAGATAACTTATATCTATAAGATAAACTAATTTTTATAGAATTAGTAGTCTAATACTGAGGAGTATTATTTTATAATAGGTAAGAAGATTCCAAACTATTATTAATAATTATATAATTTCTATAACTATCCCAGTACGTTATTCTAAAAATCTGGATCACACTAACTAGACTACTATAGAGCTAGAATATTAGTCAGGCTATTACTAATAAGATAAGGCCTCCATCCGGACCGTTCTATCATAAATTTAATGAAGAAATAATCAATAGTCTCTCACTATCTATATTAATAAAAAAATAATTATATAATGGATATTATGCTAAATAAAATATAATTTTATTAAAAAGAAAATAAAAGTTTTATTATTGAATGAAATTGACAGACTATATTCAAAAGATTATAAATTAATTAAAATTTTATAACAATATTACTATTACATATGATTACAAAGATTCCTAGAAAAAACTATAATTAGAATTAATATACTCTTAATAAGACTAGAGAAAGTTTTATTAATTAAATAATAAAACATTCAAATCTTTAAAATTTTTAATATAATTCTTCCCACAGCTTTACCAAAAAAATAAAAAATAAAAAAAAGAACCTTATTATCTAATAATTATAAATATATTTTTAAAAATATATAACAAAATTAGTATATATTTATTTCTATGTTTCAAAATTACTATAGTTCTTTTATAATTAATACTAAAATACTTAGTATTAAGAATTAATAATTTCATTAATAAATTTAAAATAATACCATAGCTCTTAGTAGATTTATTTAAATTAATAAGAAAGAATTATAATTAAATTATATTAATAATAGATAGATATTATAATAGAAGGTTTTTCTAAAAAACTACTTATTTAATTTTTCTATACTTATTAAAGATTTTATTGATCTAATAATTAAATTACTCTAAATACTCTATAAAGGATTAAGGTAGAGAGGTAAAAAAATATTTCATCTTAATATTATATTTAAAATAAATATTACGATATAGTTTAATCAGGTTCTAGAGAAATAAAGTATATAAATAATTTTTTATAAGATTAAAAAAGAATTTAAGTGGAGAAAGGATCTTCTAGATACTAGTAAGAAAAGTATGATATATAAACATAATAAGTAAAATAAAAATATAAAAAAGAACAAAAAAGAAAGAAAAAGAAAAAGAAAAAGCAGTAATTTATATACTTCTATAAAGAGAGAAAAAGCTAATAAAAAAGGGATTAAGTTATTCTAATAAGTATAACTTAAATTTAAAGTAAATAAGAACTATGAATAGTAATATTTATAAAACAAGATTAAAAGAATATAATATATATAAAAATAAAAAAAACTATGTATTTTATTTTTTTATTTAGCTTAAAAAGAAAGGTATAAAACTAATACTATCTTTTTAAAAAAATTAGATTAAGGAAATAAAATAAAATTAAAATTAAACTAATTCTTCATTTTAATATAAATAAAGAAATAGGGTCCTACCTATAATCTTTTCATTATAAAAAAAATTAAACCTAGTTTTTTGATACATGTATAAGTAAGAGATTAAAATCTTATCTATATCTATTTAATAAGAAAGATTGAAAAAATTATATTAATTATTATTACTAGTTTGAGTAATTTCTTACAAAAGCTAGATTAAACTTTCTATATGAAAAAAGAAAGAGATGGAAGAGAGATTAAGAATATTAATATTTTATATATTTATGAACTAATCCAATACTAACAAAAAAATAATATTATAAAATAGAACTTTATATTATAAGATTTAGTTAGACCATATTTTTAAATATTATAAAAGGGATTTTTATATTATAAGACTTAATTAGTCCGCACTATTGCTGTTAGCTAGTTAATTATTATATATATATAAAATTCTAAATATTCTAAATCTCTATTCCAGTACTGGTTATTTTTTCTTATATTTATAGGTGTCGTGCATCTAGTATTAGGAAATATTTTCTAATAAATCTATTGTTTTAGGCTTCTTAATATTTTTATTATCAAATTAAAAATTTCCATTTATAATTAGACATTTAAATTTAAGAATACTAGTGACTATCTAATAAAAGAAAATATTACTATATAATTTAATGGATAATAAATTATGAATTAATTATGTATTTTGTTATTTTTCTTTAGAAACAAAATCGTAATATTTTAATTTAAAAAAGTTTCTAACTAAACTTTTATAAAATATAATTTTAGTCCTGCGATTCCTATATCTATATTATATAATAATTATTTTATAAAAATCTTAAATTAATATAAAAGATAAAATAGAAAGATCTTACTTTTTTCAAATCCTTAATAATATTTTCAATAAATATAATTATATATTAAAAAGATTCTATAGATAAATATCTCTATTTATACAAAATCTTATCAATAGATTATATATTCATTTATTTATATATACTGTCTATATCTAAATAGACTTTAATACATTAATTATATTAATAGATAATATATATAATCTTTAATAATTAAAAATAAACAATAAAATAGTCGTCCTAACAGGCTAATACGACTATTAAAAATTTTAACTAAACTTTATTAAATATATAATATAAAAATATAACATATTACAATTAATAATTTTAGTATCTATAATTTATTATAGACTAGTTCAAAATATGTTTCTAAAACTAGATATAATATAAGATATATAAAGTAATTTAAAGAAATTATATAATAAAGATTTTCAATTTATATTAGTCTACTGTGTATAATTATATATTTAATCTTGACTAATAACTTAAAAATTCTAATTCTAATATAAGCAATAAATAAGTGTCAAGTGAATATTTTTTAGAATACCTATTTATTTAGATTCTCCTATTAATCTCTATCTTATATCATAGACTCTGGTAGACTAGATTAAATATATGTATAAAATAAGTCAATTATCTCTATATAGAAATAAAATTAACTATAATATTTAAATCTTGAAAGATTATTTCTAAATATAATTTAGAAACTCTGAATATTAATATCCTATTAGTAGAATCAACTATTAGTGAATTGAAATTCTACATTATTCGAAAAGATTTAACC